CAAACAGAGTTTGGTATTGTAAACAGCCATGAAAACAGAGTCTGCTTCTTAGATGAATCCAATTTCAAAAAGATCTGTTTGTATAAGTTAAACCTCAATGGTGGGGGAATGAATCTTTTTCTTTATAATAGCAAAAAGAGAGAAAGAGAGAGAGAGTGGCTTATCTACTGCACAATGACAGAGACATTTCTTGGGAAACTGAATCAGCCAATGACTTTGTTAAGAGCCAAAAGAAGATCTTAGCCGTTGATTGATGCAATCTACAGAATTCTAGGCCGTTGAAGGTATACATGATTGCCACGTTGCGTCATTAGTCATTACACATCGTTCGTAATTTTTTATGGGATTGGAGTTGGACCCTTTGTTACGAAATCGCAATGACAATTTAACAAGCATCAATAAGTTACCTGTGTAACTCAGTTATCCCAATTTTGTATTTTTTTGGTTGGTCAAAGTTATGAATCAGATAAATAATTTTGGTGGTAAACTTGTAATTTTTTTTTTTGATATTTTATGAGATCTGATCAAAATAGTCTTCGTAGTTTTGATAAGAAAATTAGAATTTGATTACATGGCATGATTACAACGGGAATTGAGGAGAGCTTTGTTGAGACAATTGAAAGCATCGATGTAGGAGACAAAGCCCATGAACCAAAACTCAAACCCATCTCGTGTCACCATATGCACGTATCTCTCACTTGGCTTCAACACGTTCGTTGATGAACTAATGCTACTTATCTTCTCCCACTCCATCACCACCTATCAATATACAACATTATAATACAATATCACATATAAATTTTATTATTGCTCAATATATTATATAGTCACTAATCTTTAGAAACCAAATTATTATTTTCTTATTTTACAAAATGAAAACAGCTCTTTCACAAAGAACAATTCAATTCTTGTTACCAATACCAACTTAGATCTTTTTTTTTAAGTATGAACCAAACTTCTATTACAAAAAATATTGTTTGAAACTCATGGTCTAACCTTGTAATATGCCGCAACACCGTTTCCACCGGCAGAAGAAGGAAGACGAATGGCATAGTCGCTACAAAAAGCGATTCTTCTGTTGGAAATGTATATCACTCCGGTCACTGGTCCCGAAGTAGTCGATATGTAGCAAACAAACGAATCTAAAAGTTTCTCTACAGCTAAAACACCAAACTCTCGTTGAAACACTCTCTCTGGTCCTCCTTCAACGATCATCTTAGTGCCTTGAGAAAGCCTAGCCATTGCTGCATCACTTATGCTAGGACTAAACTTCACTGTTCATGCCCGGTTTCATGCATAGACCATAGATTATTGTTAAGAAATATGTTTTAGGCATCGATTAAGACGACAACATATGTAAAATATAAACTCTCACGTACGGTGGTCTCTTAAACCGCCGGCTAATGCTTCCGCTTTGCGAGTAACGTCCTCTACTTTCTTCCCACAGCGATTCAACACCTCAAGAACCTTATCCTTCGACCCTACATGTATCATATATCAATCAAGATTTATCATAAGCTTAATTAAGACACGAACAATCATTTTTTAGACTTACTCTTATCAGAAGCTGATGTGGGACTAGTAATGTGGACGTAAGGATTATTATAACGACCGCCATGGCTGTTGGTTTCGTGCTTGGCCGTCGAGTCTAATTTATCGTTCACGTCTTTGTATTGTGGACGCATGATATTAGACCTAATGATGATGATGCATGGTGATGGAGAAGACGATAAATGAGGTTGATATAGAGAGAGGCCCGTGGGTTGTACGCGATGGGACCTTTATTCGAATTGCTTTTAAGGATTCGGATAACGATGTTTGATTCTCCATGGATGGTGTCAAGGTATTATAATTATGCCTTTGATGATGATATTATTTCTATTATATCTTGCTGGAATATAACGAGTAATGTATTTGGACTTTTACATTTGAATAATGTTAAATTCAACGTACACATAATGACGATTTTTAACAGATATATTTACCATATAAATGGATTTTTTCATTATAAATCCGAAACATATTATGTATATTAATATTTGTGGAAAAGAAACATATTTAACTCCCTATCGTTGTAAATTTCGAGTAAAAGTGGCAAATTTTGATTAGGTAAAAGAAAAAGTGAAAAAGTTGAATTTTTCATTGGAACAAATGGAGTGAATTGATTGGTTTGTTAAGATTTTTGATTTTAATTTTCATATCAAAATTTCATCATTCTCATACTCTATAAATACAAAGTTTTTTTTATTTGTTTTGAACACATAGGAAAAAATCTAGCTTGTTACCTTTTTAATTATTTTATAAAATTATTAATATTTTACTTATTTTATTCTAGTTTTGATTGATAATTAATTTTTATTGATAATATGTAATCATAATAAATAAAAAACATAAAGAAAACAAAATATATGAAATAAAAGTGATAAAATAGGGTATTGTAATTTTGTTAAACAAAACCATTGTAGATAGTAAAAGATTAAGTGATTGTCATATTATGATGTGAAAGAGAGATAAGATGATGTGGAGGGTTAAAAGGTAAAAAAAGAGTGTTGAAATACTGTAACCAATGTACATAGTCTTAGTAAAAGCAAAATTTAGATTTTACTGTAATAGTTTTATAAATTCTATTACTACTACTCATAAGAGGTTAAACAAAGATTAAATTTTCAACTCATAATTCCTAACAATTTATAAAACTATAACGCAGAACATAAACGCAGTTGTTAATTCTAGGAGAGAAAAAAAACAGATTAGTAAGTGCAAATTTTCGCGATGGGTAGGCCCATTGTTTTATCTTCAAGAAATACCCATTAAAAGGTTAATATTTACGAAATCTGCCACTGCTCGTAAGATTGTAATCTACCTTATTCTTCGTCCTGCAGATCCATGTATGAAACTTCCCCTGAACCCTAATTTAGCTATCGAATTTGAGATTCGACTCGTCTCTGAATAACTCCATCGTAATCGAACTGATTTCAAGACGGTTCGTTTCTTTTTCCTCTATCCCAGATTTCTTATTCTTCTCTCGCCGCCACAGTTTTCGAAGGTGAATTTGTGTCCATGTCTTGGAAAGGAGCCCGAGGAAAACCAAAAGGCTATGGCGGCGATTATGGCAAGCCTGAGCCTTTTGTGATTTTCCCTGAAATTACGTTACCAGATCCAAAATCAATCTCAACAGACTCGCAATTAGTTCAAAGCTACTTTACTTTCAATAAGTTTTGGAGGAATTCTCCTTATCACTTAGGCGATGGTGGTGTTTCTAAGAAAGGTATCAACTTTATATTTCTGTCTTTGTAATCTCTGCTTAAAGCTAAAAGCTTTTCTTTTTACAATCATCAGAGAAAGAGAGTTTGAACATTGAGAGGTATTCAGACTCGTTGAAGCCGAAGATGAAGTCTAATAAGAATGGATCTTTCTTTGATTTTCTTGTTCTTAGACCTGATAACTTCCCTAAAGAACTTCTTGGAGGTTTGTTTTTGTTTCCACCATCTCAATACTCTTTAGATGTGTTTAGTTTCATCTTGCGGATTATGCGATTTCAGATACTCGAAGAGAACAACGGCCTGTGAAGAGAGCTAAATGGAGTCAAGAAGCTGGTACATTGTGTTTATTATTAGTTTTTGTTTTCAACAATGTAACGAGAAGTTTAAGTTCTGTGTTTTTTGTTTCATAGATTTGCAGAAATTGGATGTGTTTGAGAAGCTTGAAGCTAAGTTTAAGGTAACTAGTGAAACTTTTAACGGTGTAATGGTTTTTTAAGAGCACTTGACAGTAATGTGTTTTGGATTATGTTTGGTTAGGTTGAAGGCAAGGAAGAGAAAGAAGAAGGGGAAGATGATGAAGAAGTTGTGGAATCAGAAGGAGAAGAATCTGATAATGGAGATTATGATCAGGTTTGTGCTTATTTTTCAGATTAATGTTTGAATAGAAACCTTGTGTGATTCTTCTTCTTCTTCTCAAGTTACTTAACAGCTTTGTTCTTGAATGTTTTATTTGTAGAATCAAGACTTTGATGATGATGACGACGATTATAATAACGAGGATGATGGATGTAAGAGTCATCATCTTTATTCTAAGATTGCATCCTTTAAACTTTAAAAATGATTCTAACTAACTTTGTTTCTCTCTTTTCTTGCCAGTAGTTGAAGAGGTGTATTAAGCTGCTTCTCCTCCCCAAACAATCAAGTTTTGCAGTCAAGAGAAGCTAAGCCTGTCCCAAGCTTTAGTTTTATTTAAAAACTCTCAAGGCATTTATTTGTTTTGTTCCCTTGGTTCTTATCAGATTGGAACCATCCCCTAGAACTAATATCGCTCGACTAAACCACAGTCCACAGAGCTTTAGTGTTGTACATTTCCCACAAGATGTCTATTTGATTCAGTTTAGAGTTTAGACAAATTCTTCAAGCTAACAAAGCAAATCAAACTTTGTCCTCCCAATGCCTTTCACATCTTGTATTGCTGCATTAACTCCAGCTGAGATCATTATAATCATTCTGTTTTGGATGCGTTGTTGCATAGTTTTCATCTTGTGTTAAAAACGTAACTATGTTCGGTTATGTGTTTTGAGCTTGCGATCTTCACCATTCTCGTTCAATCTTAATTGTGTATATTATTAACTGTTGTGATACTCCCTCCTGTGTTCATGTAATCCAACTTCTATTGTGGCCTGTTATTATTATTGTGTTATCCCATGATATCCTCGAGGCTTAATGTTTTTACTTTTACTGAAGTACACAGAATTTGATAGTCCACTAATCAAACCGTTTTATACAATCTTTGTCTCTTGAATATCATTCCTATATATTTTTTTACTTGAAATAATTTGGCTAATTGAAGTGAAAGTTTTGGCAAATAAAATGTGTCTTAATTACAATGATACATATACATTGGTTCCTAATTAATTCCTATCCAAATCAAAGTAATCTAGAGAAAACTACTAGAGCTTAATCAGAAGATTAAAACAAAAACAATAGAACTAAGCTTAAAAGAAGTAATTCAGTAGATGTTCGAATCTATCCATCGAAGGATATTAAGGGCAAAAAAGGAGAGAGCTTTTTCACACACAAAAACTGATTCGGGTTTTGATATAAGCCTCTGTCTGAACAAGAAGGTGTTCCTATATTTCACCTTCCCGTTATTCGGAGGCTATTCATATACATATCTCTCTATACACAAATTCTTCTGTCTGAAACTTTTTGGGGAAGAAGCTTTGATTTGAATTAAGAAAACACAAAGAAGCTTCTCCACAAAAACCAAAGAAGCCACGAATCAAAACAATACAGAAAGTATTGAATGATCAGAATTGATTTACGCCTCCTAACTAAGCCAATAAGTATGAAATTGCCTAAATAACTTAGGGTTCATAAAGCTACTCAAGGAGGCGGATTTTATCCCCAATATCGAAAAACAAACAAAAACGATAGAGATTAACAAAGAGACTTATGAGGAAGATGAGTTATACGAAGAAGACAAGAGTGGCGCAACCCTTTTTATCCACTCTGTTTTCTAGGGCTTTTCATGGGTTGGATTGTGAATGACTATTTTACCCTCTCTAATTAACTGACCGGTTAATATAATCAGGTCTGGTTTTCTTAAACCACTCAATCTGTTTTAACCATTGGCTTTAAGAAAAAGGCAGAGTAGGATTTATGAAAATTAAAAAGGCCAGCAATATTCTTTGTATTACATACAAAGTTTGTAAGGTTACATGAAGTTGTGATTTATCTTGGCTGATGTTAAAGTGTTGGAAAGAAGCATAAGGGGGGCATTGCTCATGCACCACCAGGTGGTGTGATAACCCGAGCTGATTGTTATTGGTACTGGACTTGTCGATATGTACTCAAAATGCGGCTGCTTAACATTCACTAGCTTGCTTTCGGCTTATCGTCATATAGGTCTTGTTGAAGAAGGTTTCAAGAGCATGAAGACAAAATTTGGTGTCACACCGGTTATCCAACACTATGGATGCGTAGTAGATCTTCTTGGTAAAGCAGGGCGGATACAAGTGGCTTATGAGTTTGTATTAGCTATGCCTATAAAGCCTGACGCTATCTTGTTAAGAAGTCTTTGCAATGCCTGCAGCATTTATGGAGAGACTGTAATGGGTGAAGATATCGTAAAGGCTCTTCTCGAGATAGATTGAGAGGAGGAGAAGCTTTCGGGTTCTGAGTGCGAAGATTATGTCGCTATATCGAATCTGTTAGCTCATAAAGGGAAATGGGTAGAGGTAGAGAAGCTGAGGAAGGAGATGAAAGAAAGAAGAATCAAAACAAGACCTGGTTACAGTTTTGTTTAACATAGCTTGTTACAGGTCAGGATTCAAAACACTACTCATTTAGTTTCATCAAGTCATTAATTAACATTACACAACAAATAAACTTGCAGGTCTCGGTTCTGTTAAAAGCTCTGTTATCCCCTGAGGACTCTCTTGTCTTCTTCTTCTTCTTTAAGCACTTGCATCACATCAACATCTACACAGAGATAAAGATATTCAGATCCCAATCTTCTTAATCATAACGTTGTTATGAACAAAGTCTTCTTACCGTGTAGAATCTTGTCAAACTCGATGTCTCTTGGTCTCTTCTTGGATTTGTGCTCTGTGTCACCACCATCAACAGATTGATTATTCTTCCTTGTACCTTGAGTTCCAACAAACTCTTTGCCTGTAATTTCGATTATATCATCGTCGCTGTCAATGATATGAACTGCATCCAGAGGATAGTTGGTCTCGCAAGCCGAAGCATTGAAGATTATTACACGGAAACTCGAATTCTCCTTGTATTCGAACAAGAGAAAGTGGCCTTCCTCGATGGAATGAGCCTCTGCAAACTCACTCCAACCCTCATGGAACCAAATCTCTTCACCGATCCGTTTCAGCTTTATGGAACGCTTATATCCCGCAGGAGTCTCTAATGTAACAACCTCTGATGAGAGTTTAGACCCTTGTAGCTTCACGAATCTTGGTGGAATCCTCTGCTCAAAAACATAATGAGATTTTCAGAAACAAGTAACAAATTGTCAGATCTTAAATTCTCTACATTTCTTAAGAACAGATTAGTGTGTCCCTTATAGATCTCTAATCCAAGATAAAACAAAAGAAATGGACACTGTTTAGTGAATCTGCAGATATAGACCCTAAAAATTGAAACAGGAATAATAACACACATGCAAACACTTTATTTCAAGTTTTTTCAAAGTATTAGGTAATTACCATCATCTTATCTTTCATCGTTGAAGGTAAGACCAGCTTGAAGAACTTCTTCACCGGCGACTCAGGATCTTGCTGTGATCGGCGGTGAGAGACTGAGGTGACTCTGGCCTTCATGTTTCGGGTTGTAACCATTTTTGTTTGCTGAGAAGAGAAGGAGAAAATTGAGAGTAGAGAGTGATGAGTGGAGTTAACCGAGAAGCAAGATAAGTTTTCTTGTCGTTATGTTAGTAAGATTTTTTCTGACGAGTGTGACAAAGTTACTTTAACTCTTTGTACTTTTCCAACAGTCATTTATACAGTTCCCTAGTCGAAAAGATAAGTCTTACCATTATTGAAGTTTTTTTTTTTCTTTTTGGTATACAAACTTCTATTTACATATATATATTTTTTAAAGATTTTGGACAAAAAAAAGACATAAAATAAATAATATTTAGTTTGTAATCTTTACAAAATCTATCTAAAAAATTGATTTTGAATATGAATAAGCAGAAAGTTTATATGAACCATTGTGGTTGTAAACAAAAAAAGCTTAATTTAGCAGACATGCAAATTACTCTGGTTCTTTATTTTAAAGAATTGAATTAATAAAAGAATTTAAAATATTAGAAATATTTAAACTTTATTAAAAGTTAATTATTACAAAATTTGAGGACTTTTAAAAAATTAAAATTTATAAAACGTTATTTAAACTTTATAAGAAAATAACAAAAGGATGTTTAATTTCACGGGATGTGATTATATGGTGAGATGAGTTTGGATTGATATTAATATGGGATGAAATATTATGGATGAAATTCTATAATTAAAAATCAAAATATAATTATACAATTTCTAAAACTAAACAAACTAACAATATTAACAAAATAAATATAAGGTGTATTATACATAAAAAAGCAATAGGCCATATTTATATATTATCTTAAAACCAATAATTCAGGTATGTGGTATATCTTTTAATATATTGTTCATATATAAATAATATTAATTAAAATAAAATCTTTAACTTTCTAACAAAAATATAACTCGTGGTGTTCCACCGATTAATCTCTAGTATAATTTAAAGAAATAGCATTTAAATTAGCTTTTATCAATAACCAATGTATAATTAGTTGCTACATGTCATAACAATCAAAGCCTAGTTTCTAATAAAGACTAACAACACATATTCCTAATGGACACTGAATAATATATGGAGATACTTGTACAAATTTACTTTTTCTTTACCTGCTTTGGACATTTGGACTTGATATCTAAAGAATTTAATTTTTCCTAATATTATCTTACATTTTAATATTATATAACTCAAAATAAGATAATGAATTTCAAAATTCTTATATCTGTTTTTGGTGAGTTTTCCTTTTTTGGGCTATAATTATTGACTATTGAGCTACAAAACCTATTTCCTTTTTTTTTTTTCCACCGTGTGGATCTCACGCGGTTTTGAAAACAGCAAGACGTTCATACGTCTAAAGCTATAAACGACACAAAGTGCTATTCTCCTTTTCTGAGTTAATGTTCACACGTGGGAAGCCAACTGTAAAATCGTAAGCATGCGCGCTGTTTTTTTTGTTGCTAGCCGTTATACCAACTGTTCCTCCTACTCATACACCAACTATTAATTTTTAAAACATTCCTCTTTTTTTTCCCAACAATAAATAAACTAAATTTTTCTTCACTTTTTTTCTTTTTCAATTTACTTTTTTAAATAATTTAATATATAAATAACTTCTTCTCTGTCAAAGATTTTTCCTGATTCTTTCTTTTTTCCTCTATTGATTTTTTTTTTGCTCATTCGTTGTTTCCTTTCAGGAAAAGAGAGGAAACAACGTTTCGTCTTCTCAGATTCTTTACCTTTCTTAAGGAAAAACCCCAAAAGAGAGAAGATAAAAATCTCGCATTCAGATTTTAGGGTTTCTGACAAATTCTCCGACGAAATTCAAGATCCGAATCTCGGCAATGTCGACAATCTCGCCGTCATTAGCCGTAATTGCGTTTCTTTTTCTGATTCTTCTGAATCTATCTTCGGTTTTCGCTGATCCTTCGACGGAAGGAGGAGAGATTATTAGGTTACCTTCGGAGAAGATCAACGGTGAAAAAAACAGAGGCGAATTCTGTGAAGGAATTGCTAAACCGGCTTCGTGTCCGGTTCAGTGTTTCAGGCCTGATCCGGTTTGCGGTGAAGACAGCGTTACTTACTGGTGCGGTTGTGCTGATGCTTTGTGCCATGGTGTTCGTGTTGTGAAACAAGGAGCTTGTGATGTTGGTAATGGTGTTGGTTTGTCTGTTCCTGGACAAGCTCTGCTTTTGATACACATTGTCTGGATGATGCTTCTTGGGTTTTCTATTCTCTTTGGGCTCTTTTGATTTTGGTTCTAATTTCTCTGAATCAAAACAACATATAGAAGATTGTTTAGGTTTTCAGATTGCAAATGACGAATCTTTTTTGTTTATACTCTTCTTTTTTTCTTTATATTGCTCTGTATTCATATTACATTAAAACTATGAGGAAATATTATTATTATTTGGTTTGTTGCGTACAAAAGAAGCTTTTTTGAATCTTGCTTTCTCCATCTCTTTCCCAAGATAATCCAGGATTGTATCTGTTACGTGGTTAGGTAAACAACCTGCATCTAACATTGCTTTCAAGTACTTGTATGCTTCTTTCAATTTCCCTGCTTTACTATTCATTTCGATCATCGTGTTGTAACTCACAACGTCCGGGTTTATTCCATTGCTCTTCATGTGGTCAAACAGTTGTGTGGCTTCATCTAACCGGGTTGCTTTCCCCAGAGCGTTGATCAATGTGTTGTACATTACAATGTCTAGATATCCTCCTTGCTTTGTGAGTCTGTCGAGTACCGCGCTGGCTAAGTCTGCTCTTCCCATTTTTCCTAATCCTTGGATTATTACATTGTATGTTGCTATGTCTGCTGCACAAAAGTTCTCAACCATTTGGTCAAGCACTCCACGGGCGGTTTGGAAGTAACCCTTTTTGACAAACGAGCTCATCATGGAGTTGTAGGTGTAACTCGTGAGATCGGTAACACCCATTCCATTGAATATCTCAAACAATTTGCAGGCTAAGCTGAGATCCCCTTTGGACAGATATATAGATAGAAAC